TCATCGTTGGCTCATCGCCCCATCACCACAACAGTGATCATCACCACCCACCGCCATCACCACCACCACCACCATCATCACCACCATCATCACCACCAGCAACGTCCTCACCACCATCACCACCACCATGACCCTCACCGTCGACGTCTCCATACCGTCACCATCACCACCCATCCTCCCCCTGCTCCCCCCGCGGCCCCAACCCCCAGAGCACCAAAGGAGCCAGGGGCCGGGGCGCGTTGAGCGGCCGCCCGCCTCGAAGGACCTCTCCAGCTTCCGGCAGTACTCCCGCTCGTCCTTCAGCACCATGAGGCTGGGGGCGCTGAAGGGGTCGGCGGCCTCGGGAGCGCGCTCGCGGCTTCACGGCAAGTCTGAAGGGGCCCTGGGACACACAAATCAATACACACAAATAAAGATATTCCTCATATTTTCCTGTATTTTCTGGGTTTTTGTCTTCCCCACCACTTCCCATATTTTCCAATATTTTCTGGGGAATCAACGATTAATTGTGTCTGTGTGTTTCTTTCCCTCCTGAAAATCATCAAGCATGGCATGCATGAGGTGATCCAGCAGGGCGGCAGTGCCACGGACTCGGCGCGCCTGGTCCGCGGGAAGTCCGCGGAGGACGCCAGCGCAGAGGAGCGCAAGAAGATGAGGGGGGAGGGAGCAAGAAGAGGAGGGGGAGGGGCAAGAAGAGGGGGAGGGAGCCGGCGGCCTCGGGAGCGTGGTCGGGAGCCAACGCGTCTCGCAGTCCCTGAACATGCACCCCGTGGGGCCGTCCGTCCCGGGGACCCCTCGGGCCGTCCTGGTGGCTCCGGGCGCCCGCCCGCAGACCGAAAACGTCGACCGAAAAGGTACGTCTGGCGCGACGCGTTCGCCCGAACGCGGGCCGGCACGCGCCGAGCCAAAACGCAGCGTGCCGACACGGGCGTCCTGGACACGCGGCACGAGCTGCGCTTCAACACGGGCGCACCAGGTCGGCTGAGCTCCGTGTGTGTGTGTGTGTGTGTGTGTGTGTGTGTGTGTGTGTGTGTGTGTGTGTGTGTGTGTGTGTGTGTGTGTGTGTGTGTGTGTGTGTGTGTGTTTTTCATATTTTTTTTTGTTTTTTTTTTTTTTTTGTTTCTGTTGTGTTTGTTTTGTTTTGTGTGTGTGTTGTGTGCTTTTTGTGTGTTTTGTGTGTGTGTGTGTTTGTTTTTTGTGTGTGTGTTTTTGTGTGTGTGTTGTGTGTTTTGTGTGTGTGTGTTATGTTTGTGTTTTTTCCCATCGATGGCTCGGATTTTGCCACGTGTTCGACGAATTCCAAGCCCTGCCCCAGCCGCCCACCACGTTGCCCGAATCGCTGGTCGGCGAGGGCAGGGCACGGAGTTCGCCGCCGGGGTGCGGCTTCCGGGCGCGTCGGGGGGGAGGACGAGCAGGACGTGGAGGAGCAGGCCACAGGACGAGGAGGACGAGGAGGAGCGGCCGCCTGCTGCTACTCCTCCCTCCCTCCTCCCTCCCTCCCTCCCTCCCTCCCTCTCCTCCTCCTCCTCCTCCTCCTCCTGCTCCTGCTCCTCCTCCTCCTCCTCCTCCTCCTCCTCCTCCTCCTCCTCCTCCTCCTCCCCCTCCTCCTCCTAGCCATTCCTTCTGGCGCAAGGACATTGCGCCGCTGGGCCAAGCGCCCGGGGCCCTTGTCGGCGCACCTTGGAGCGACAGTGCCGATCGTGGGCCACGACGGAGGAGAGGGGCGCCTGGACACCGCCTGGCTGCCGATGGCGCGAGGAGTGCCGCGGCGGGTGCCCGAGGCGAGGCGCGCATGCCCATGATGAGCGACGAGGTTGCCCGGCGAGCTGCGATCGTCGAGGCGGAGGCGTGCACCACGGTGAAGCTGGCCGCGCAGCGTGAGCCTGGCTGCTGCGGAAAAGGGGTGGCTCACACTCAGCCGTGCGCTGGGTGGGCAGCGGGGTGCGCGCGATGGCGGCCCACCGCGTGCCACGCAGCCGTGGGGGGAGCAGAACGGCGAGGAAGGCCAGCCTGGCCGAGGCCCTGCGGGGCAAGGCACATGTCGCTGTCCTAAGTGCTCCAGTACGGCTTTCAACTTCTAAATGTTGGTGGGTGCAGTGTTATACAAATGTCTGCACTTCGTTGTACTGTCGCAAACCTCACACGTATGTGCTGTGGCATGTGTATTTTCGCTGTCGTGGCAGTCGCCACTCATCCATTTTGCGGTGCCCCCGTCTTGCTCGCTTAGTTGGAGTGGACACTCCGATGTACATGTTTCTTGAGGCGTTTGCTCGGACGTCCACGGCTTGACTGAGGCGTATGCCAGGAGGAACAGCACCCCACATTCAGGAGCAAGGTGCGTGCCGTCCCGCGTAGTGCCATCCATCTGTGTAGGATCTGAGCAGCATAATCCCAGCATGATCCTCCTCCTCCTCCTCCTCCTCCTCCTCCTCCTCCTCCTCCTCCTCCTCCATCTCTCTTCCTTATAAGTAACGTCTCCCTGTCGCACCCCGAGGCCGGCCGAAAGGGCGTGATGGGCGTTTCGCCTGAAATTCCCTCACCACGTATGATCCTGAAACTTAAAATTTGCAACAATTTCATAGATGGAGGGCGGTCCGCTTTCAAAATGTGGCTCTCGCTTTACTGCCGCGCACATTCAATTCAAATGAACTCAGCGCGACCCCAATGAGGGGAAAGCTTCTCACTGCATGGGCGCAGTTCTTGGCACTGCTTGGCATGAGGGGCAGCGATATGGGGGGGGACTGGCACAGGGAGGGATGCATCGACCTGGAACCGGCGATACATCGCCGATAGATCGCCGATAGGCCCCTGATGGTGAATCTGCACCTTCCTGGGCGGGTTGGGGCTATCGGGCCCCTATCGGCGATCAAGGGATCGATGCGTCCCCCCCCCCTATGCCTGTCCCCCTGTCGTTGCCCCCGATGGCACTGCTTGGCATGACAGCACCTGGGAACCCGGGGAGCCCGGGGAGCCTGGAGAACCCGGAGGCACCCGGGGAACCCAGGGGAACACGGGGAACCCGGGGAAGCCGGGGAACCCACGGGGAACCATAACGGGCGTCACTTGCATAGTACGACGAAAGATGTTCCTCCTGAGGTGGAATTGGCGATGATGAATTCGCGGGATAACATCGGCGCCGCCGAACGGACGGCGTCTGGACGAGCTGCGTGCAGCAACCGGGGAACCAAGGGAGCCTGGGGAATCTGGTGAAACCATCGGAACCTCCGGGGAACGGGCAGAGTGAGCCCCCGAGGCACCGAACTTCAAGTAAGCAAGAGCCCCATTAGGCAAGCGGAATCGGGGAAACACTGCAAGAGCTTCGCGGATGGAGGGCGCTCCGCTTCAAACTGTGACTCTCGCTACAGCGCCGCGCACACTTGTATCAACAGCCTGCCATCGCTTGGACGTCCATCCCCAATGCGCTTACTTTCCGCCGGATGATCTGAGATGCTCCTTCGTGGCCCTCGCCGAGAAAACATACACTCATCCGAACGATGCCCAGACAAGCTGCAAGAGCTTCACGGATGGAGGGCGGCCCGCTTTCAAAATGTGGCTATCGCCTTAGCTCCACGCGCATTCATTCTCGAAGTTTGCAGCAGCTTCACGTGTAGAGGGCGGTTCCTCTTCCAAATGTGGCCCTCGCCTTAGCGCCGCGCACATTGATATTAAAAGTTTGCAGCAGTTTCAAGGATTCCCATGGTTAACGCCCCAGACACGGTGTTTGGGCACGATGTCTGAATGTCAGGGCGCAACAATCACGTTTGACTCGCGGTGTCGAATTCCCAGGAATGGTGTTCTGGTGCGATTCAGGATCCTCAAGACGCAACAGTCACGGTGATTCGCGGGGAAGAAATCCCAGGAATGGTGTTCTGGTGCAGCTCCGGATTTTCAAACGGTTGCCTTCAACGGGGCACTTCCCTCGCTTCACCCTTGTGTGGGGCCCTGGAGGGGAAACTCGGAGGGAGGGCTTATTTCAGTATCGCTGATGAGTCTCGGGCTCGCGCTGGTCCTCCTCCGCTATTTCCGCTATTTGCCGCGGCATAAGGGTCACTCCCTGTGCCGCCTCGGTGGCGCCGATGCACCCAGGCCGAGCCGCACGCGCGGTCGACACGCTGGCGCCCTCGGCGCAGGGGGGGGACCCGTCCAGGGGGAGAGTGGTCCTCCTCCCTCCTGCTCCCCCATGTGCCCGGGCGGTCCCCGCCGTGAGCCCGGCCACCATGGCGATGGCGTCGCAGGGCGTCCCCATCACCAGGCCAAAGTGCAGCAGGCGGCACAGGCGCAGGTCGCACGGCAGCGCCATCGCGATGTAGCCTCCCCCGCCCCGGCAGCAACGAGGCACCCCTGAACCGGGAGGGAGGAGGAGGAGGAGGAGGAGGAGGAGGAGGAGGAGGAGGAGGAGGAGGAGGAGGAGGAGGAGGAGGAGGAGGAGGAGGAGGAGGAAGGAGAGGAGGAGGAGGAGGAGGAGGAGGAGAGGAGAGGAGGAGGCGGAGGCGGAGGATGAGTGGCGAGGGGGAGGGAGAGGAGGGGGAGAAGGGGGGGGAGACGGGTGAACGAGTGACACCAGTCGCGAAACGGGCTCGAACGAATTACGAAACTCGACGAAGGGGGAGCAGGGGGAGCAGTGTCCAGGGGAGGAGGGGGGAAAGGGGAGGAGTGGGAGGGGGGGGAGGGGAGGAGGGAAAGGGAGGAGGGAGCAGGAACAGCAGCGGCAGCAGCAGCGGCAGCAGCAGCAGCAGCAGCAGCACCGGCAGCACCAGCAGCAGCAGCAGCAGCAGCAGCAGCAGCAGCGGCAGCAGCAGCAGCAGCAGAGGGAGAAGCAGTGCGCAGGAGGAGCTGTTCCCTGTACGCACGGCTTGCTTGTCTGATCGCATGAACCACAGCGCGTGTGCTCGAGGATCAGGACAGGAGCAGAAGCAGAGGCAGCAGGAGCAGGGGCCTCGGAACCTCGTCAAAGCAGGGGGTGCGAAGCCCCTGGGCGACCCCTCCTGGAAAACCCCCTC